CAGCTGATTACAGAGGTTAGAGGGAACACGTTACAGCTGCAATACAGACAGAACACGTGTTACAGCTGCACAATACACACAGAACACGTGTTACAGCTGCACACAGACAGAACGTGTTACAGCTGCACAATACAGACAGAACACGTTACAGCTGCACAATACACACAGAACACGTGTTACAGCTGCACAATACACACGAACACGTTGCTAGCTGCACAAACAGACAGAACACGTGTTAGCAGCTGCACAATACACACAGAACACGTGTTACAGCTGCACAATACACAGAACACGTGCATAGCTGCACAATACAGACAAACACGTGTTACAGCTGCACAATACACACAGAACACGTGTTACAGCTGCACAATACACACAGAACACGTGTTACAGCTGCACAATAGACAGAACACGTTACAGCTGCAATACACACAGAACACGTGTTAAGCAGCTAGCCAATACAGGAACACGTGTTACAGCTGCACAATAAGACAGAACACGTGTTACAGCTGCACAATACACACAGAACACGTGTTACAGCTGCACAATACTCAGAACACGTGTGTTACAGCTGCATTACATTACAGAACACGTGTTACAGCTGCTCATACAGACAGAACACGTTAACAGCTGCACAATACACACAGAACACGTGTTACAGCTGCACAATACAGACAGAACACGTGTTACAGCTGCACAATACACACAGAACACGTGTTACAGCTGCACAATACAGACAGAACACGTGTTACAGCTGCACAATACACACAGAACACGTTACAGCTGCACACATACACAGAACACGTGTTACAGCTGCACACAGACAGAACACGTGTTACAGCTGCACAATACACACAGAACACGTGTTACAGCTGCACAATACAAACAGAACACGTGTTACAGCTGCACAATACACACAGAACACGTGTTACAGCTGCAATAATAGCTACACAGAACACGTGTTACAGCTGCACTAATACTACAGAACACGTGTTACAGCTGCACTAATACACACACGAACACGTACATGCTGCACAATACAACAGAACACGTGTTACAGCTGCAGCACAATACACAGAACACGTGTTACAGCTGCACAATACTCACAGAACACGTGTTACAGCTGCACAATACTACAGAACACGTGTGTACAGCTGCACAATACACACAGAACACGTGTTACAGCTGCACAATACACAGAACACGTGTTACAGCTGCACAATACTCACAGAACACGTGTTACAGCTGCACAATACTCACAGAACACGTGTTACAGCTGCACAATACTACAGAACACGTGCGTAGCTGCACAAACACACAGAACACGTGTTACAGCTGCACAATAATACAGAACACGTGTTGCAGCTGCACAATACACACAGAACACGTGTTACAGCTGCACAATACACAGAACACGTGTTACAGCTGCACAATACTCACAGAACACGTGTTACAGCGCTGCACAATACTCACAGAACACGTGTTACAGCTGCACACACACAGAACACGTGTTACAGCTGCACAATACACACAGAACACGTGTTACAGCTGCACAATACACACAGAACACGTGTTACAGCTGCACAATACACACAGAACACGTGTTACAGCTGCGCAATACACACAGAACACGTGTTACAGCTGCACATCACACAGAACACGTGTTACAGCTGCACAATACTCACAGAACACGTGTTACAGCTGCTAATACACAGAACACGTGTTAAGCTGCAATAATACACACAGAACACGTGTTACAGCTGCACAATACTCACAGAACACGTGTTACAGCTGCATAATACTCACAGAACACGTGTTACAGCTGCACAATACAGACAAACACGTGTTGCAGCTGCACAAAACAGCTGTAATATAAAAGTTAACATCTCATATAAGAAGAAAATAAACACAGAGTAAATTCAAGCTTATTACTCCTGTAGATTAGACACGACAGCTTATTTCACCTGAAGATTATATTTTCCAGCTTATTTCACTTGAAGATTAGACACGCCAGCTTATTTCATCTTATATTTTGCTTATTTCACCTTATATTTTCAAGCTGATTTCACCATATATTTTCCAGCTTAATACACCTGTAGATTAGACACGCCAGCTTATTTCACCTTATATTTTCCAGCTTATTTCACCTTATATTTTCCAGCTTAATACATTTGTAGATTAGACACGCCAGCTTATTTCACCTTTATATTTTCCAGCTTATTTCACCTTATATTTCAGCTTAATACACCTGTAGATTAGACACGCCAGCTTATTTCTTATATTTTCAGCTTATTTCACCTGTAGATTAGACACACAGCTTATTTCACCTTATATTTTCAAGCATTTTCCTTATATTTTCCAGCTTAATACACCTGTAGATTAGACACGCCAGCTTATTTCACCTTATATTTTTTCCAGCAATACACCTGTAGATTAGACACATAGCTTATTTCTATATATTTTCAAGCAATACACCTGTAGATTAGACACGCCAGCTTATTTCACCTTATATTTTCAGCTTAATCACCTGTAGATTAGACACGCCAGCTTATTTCCCTTATATTTTCAGCTTAATACACCTGTAGATTAGACACGCCAGCTTATTTCACATATTTTCAAGCTTATTTCATATATTTTCCAGCTTAATACACCTGTAGATTAGACACGCCAGCTTATTTCACCTTATATTTCAGCTTATTTCATATATTTTCCATTAATACACCTGTGATTGATTACATAAACTTATTTCACCTTATATTTTTCAAGCTTATTTCTTTATATATTTTCAAGCTTATCTACCTTATATTTTCCAGCAATACACCTGTAGATTAGACACGCCAACTTATTTCACCTTATATTTTCAAGCTTATTTCACCTTATATTTTCCAACCTTTCACCTTATATTTTCCAGCTTAATACACCTGTAGATTAGACACGCCAGCTTATTTCACCTTATATTTTCAAGCTTATTTCTTATATTTTCAAGCTTATTTCACCTTATATTTTCCAGCTTAATACATAATGAGATTAGACACGCCAGCTTATTTCACCTTATATTTTCCAGCAATACACCTGTAGATTAGACACACAGCTACCTTATATTTTCCAGCTTAATACACCTGTAGATTAGACACGCCAGCTTATTTCACTTATATTTTCCAACAATACACCTGTAGATTAGACCGCCAGCTTATTTCACCTTATATTTCAAGCTTAATACACCTGTAGATTAGACACAAGCTTATTTCACATATATTTTCAACTTAATACACCTGTAAATTAGACACGTACAGCTTTTACCTTATATTTTCAAAACTATTTTATAGATTAGACACGCCAGCTTATTTCACCTTATATTTTCCAGCAATACACCTGTAGATTAGACACGCCAACTTATTTCATTATATTTTCCAGCTTAATACACCTGTAGATTAGACACGCCAGCTTATTTCTTATATTTTCAAGCTTATACACTGTAGATTAGACGCCAGCTTATTTCACCTTATATTTTCAAGCTTAATACACCTGTAGATTAGACACGCCAGCTTACACCTTATATTTTCAAGCAATACACCTGAGAATTAAGACACCCTAACTGGGTGTCTAATCTTCAGGTGATCAAAAAGTAACCAGCTGATGATCTGTGACGTCATAGGCGCCTCTTATATTGTCGTGAGATATCTTCTGTGACGTCATAGGCGCTCTTTGTCGTGAGATATCTTCAGTGACGTCATGGGCTCTTATTATTTGTCGTGAGATATCTTCTGTGACGTCATGGGCGCCTCTTATATTGTCGTGAGATATCTTCTGTGACGTCATGGGCGCCTCTTATATTGTCGTGAGTTATCTTCTGTGACGTCATGGGCTCCTCTTATATTGTCGTGAGATATCTTCTGTGACGTCATGGGCGCCTCTTATATTGTCGTGATATATCTTCTGTGTGACGTCATGGGCGCCTCTTTGTCGTGAGATATCTTCTGTGACGTCATGGGCGCCTCTTATATTGTCGTGATATATCTTCTGTGACGTCATGGGCGCCTCTTTGTCGTGAGATATCTTCTGTGACGTCATAGGCGCCTCTTATATCGCGAGATATCTTCTGTGACGTCATGGGCTCTTATTATTTGTCGTGAGATATCTTCTGTGACGTCATGGGCTCTTATTATTTGTCGTAGAGATCTTTGTTTACGATGGGGAGAAAAGAGTCACTGGAGGAGAAATTCTAGTCCCTCTGGTGGTATAAATATTTCCGCGTGCGTTTGGCCGGGCTAGAGATCAGCATGACGTGAAGTAACATTATTCGCTAAACTTTTAACCGAACATCTTTTAAAAAGCTCATGAAAAGTATCAAAGCTATTACTCTGTTGTCGATCTTGATTTAACGATTTAAGGCTCGTTCCTCTCGTCTGCCGTCTTGTAAACATTGCTACCTTGTTGATGTTGAAATTCCTTAACAACATCAAAGTTCTTGAGTCTACGAACTAGGACAATTTTCTATCATAGTGTTATCAATAAATCTCTTTCCTTATGAGTTTGTGGAGTTATTTAAGGGTGTCTTGTGAGTTTGTGAGTTAGATAAGGCGTGTGGTGTTTGGGGGCTCATGGTTGGTTTCTCATCAGTTACAGGGGTTCGATCTGACCTCTGTATAGGTCATCGTTGAGGTCGGCAGTGGGAGGGCGAGGAGGGTCGGCAGTAGAGGGTGAGGAGGTCGGCAGTGGGAGGAGGGGGCGGAGGGTCGGCAGTGGGGGGAGGGCGGGGAGGGTCGGCAGTGGGGAGGAGGGCGAGAGGGTCAGCAGTAGAGGGAGGAGGGGCGAGGAGGGGTCGGCAGTGGGGGAGGAGGGGGGCGAGGAGGGTTCGGCAGTAGAGGAGGAGGGTCGAGGAGGTCGGCAGTAGGGAGGAGGGGGGCAGAGGGAGGGGCAAGGTCTCAGTTGGATCACTATACAGGGCGGACACGAGGATGAAGGGCCAAACCAAGAGTGCCAGGGGACTGCTCGACCTACTACCATGAGAGGGCTGAGGGCTGAGGGCTGTGCTTGATCTGGGCTGCCGTTGAATTAGCGTTGATGGTCTGACTGTCTGTTGAGCTGGCGTTGACTGTTTGACTGTCTGTTGAAGTGGCATTGACTGTGACTGTCTGTTGAGCTGGCGTTGATGCGTAACTGTCTGTTGAGCTGGCGTTGACTGCTTGACTGTCTGTTGAAGTGGCATTGACTGCTTGACTGTCTGTTGAGCTGGCGTTGACTGCTTGACTGTCTGTTGAGCTGGCGTTGACTGCTTGACTGTCTGTTGAGCTGGCGTTGACTGCTTGACTGTCTGTTGAGCTGGCGTTGACTGCGTAACTGTCTGTTGAGCTGGCGTTGACTATGACTGTCTGTTGAGCTGGCGTTGGCTGGCGACTGTCTGTTGAGATGTCGTTGACGGTCTGACTGTCTGTTGAGCTGGAGTTGATGGTCTGACTGTCTGTTGAGCTGGCGTTGACTGCTTGACTGTCTGTTGAGATGTCATTGACGGTCTGACTGTCTGTTGAGCTGGAGTTGACTGTCTGACTGTCTGTTTCTGTTGTACTGTTAAAGGCCTCTGTTGCAATCCATCTGTGTATCCGTTTGTTTTAATAATTTGTACTGTGGCGTTGATAGAGAGGCGTTCAGGAAAGAGACGTTGAGGAAGGGCAGGAGGCGTTGAGAGCCGTTGAGGAAGGGCAGAAGGCGTTGAAGGGCGTTGAGGAAGGGCAAAGGCGTTGAAGGGCGTTGAGGAAGGGACAGAGGCGTTGGAGGACGTTGAGGAAGGGCAGGAAGCGTTGAGGGCGTTGAGGGAGAGGCAGGAGGCGTTGAAAGGGCGTTGAGGAAGGGCAAGAGGGCGTTGAAGGGCGTTGAGGAAGGGCAAGAGGCGTTGGAGGACGTTGAGGAAGGGCAGGAAGCGTTGAAGGGCGTTGAGGGAGGGCAGGAGGGGCACCTCTCGGGGACAAGGAGGGTGGTCAGTGGTTATGACTGTCGTCAATTGGTTCAGTCAGAATGTTGCTGCTGCAGGAATCTTGACCTCCTTGTAACTAGTGCTTGAGGTCCTGCAGTCGGTGCTAGGGACCCTTGGTGCTACCTCTTGGGAGGGACTTTGAATGGGAGTCCTTCTTGGAAGACCCTGGCTGGGAGTCCTTCTTGGAGAAGACCTGGCCTGGACTCCTTCTTGGAGGAGGACCCTGGCCTGGACTCCTTCTTGGAGGAGGACCCTGGCCTGGACTTTCCTTCTTGGAGGAGGACCCTGGCTGGAGTCCTTCTTGGAGGAGGGACCCTGGCTGGGAGTCCTTCTTGGAGGAGGACCTGGCTGGGAGTCCTTCTGGAGGACGGGCTGGGGTCCTTCTTGGAGGACCCGGGCTGGGACTCCTTCTTGGAGGAGGACGGCTGGGATCCTTCTTGGGAGGACCCCTGGCTGGGACTCATCTTGGAGGAGGGACCCTAGCTGGGACTCCTTCTGGAGGACCTGGCTGGGACTTTGGAGGAGGGCGCTGGCTGGGACTCATTCTTGGAGGACCCTGGCTGGGACTCCTTCTTGGAGGAGGGACTGGCTGGGACTCCTTTGGAGGAGGACCTGGGTGGGACTCCTGGAGGAGACCTGGGTGGAGCTCCTTCTTGGAGGGACCTGGGTGGGACTCAGCTTACAGAGGAGGACCCTGGGTGGGACTCCTCCTTGGTGAACCTGGCGGGCTCGCTTGCTTGGGAGGACCTGGCTGGGACTCCTTCTTGGAGGAGGACCGTGGCTGGGGTCTTGTTGAGGAGGACTTGGCTGGACTCCTTCTTGGAGGAGGACTTCCTGGCTGGGACTCCTTCTTGGAGGAGACTCTGGATGGGACTCCATCTTGGAGGAGGACCCTGGGACTCCATCTTGGAGGGAGGACCCTGGCTGGGACTCCATCTTGGAGGGAGGACCCTGGCTGGGACTCAGTCTTGGAGAGGACCTGGCTGGGGACTCTTTGGAGAGGACTGTTTGGGAGTCCTTCTTGGAGAGGACCCTGGCTAGGAGTCCTCTGGAGGACCCTGGCTGGGGGTTGTGGAGGAGACCCTGGCTGGGACTCCGGTTCTTGGAGGAAGCCTCTGGTTTATGGTGGGTCATTGTAGGCCTTGTGTTCATTCTTTCACCTTGGACTTTGGTAGTGGCTTAGGGTGACCCTGTTGGATTTGATCCTTCTTCAAGGGACCTGGTTTGTGGTCCTGCTTTGAGGGGAGTTGGAGGATGATCTCTCTTCAAGGGGGACCATGGCAGTTAGTCTTGGTGAGTGGGACCTGGTCTATGGACTACTTTTCAAGGGGTGACCATGGAGTAGTCTTTCTTTAGAGGGACCCTGCCTGTGAATCCTCTTCAGGGCCCTGGGGATGATTTTCTCAAGGGTGATCCTGGTCTGCTGTTTGTCCTTCAAGGGCGTCTGATCTTAGGACCTGCCTCAGTGGTGAGGCTTCTGCCCTGTGGTCCTGCCTCGAGTGGTGACCCTCCTGTGGTCATGCCTGCTGGGGACCCTGGGTTTTGGGGTCCTGCCTCGGTGTGGTGACCTGGAGACTTCTAACAGGTTACTTCAGGTGTGAGCCAGGGACTGTGACCTGCTGGAGAATGGCCTTAAGCCTTGATGACCTATGGTTGACTCTGGCCTTGGTGTGGGGCGAGTGTTTGTGGTGTCCTTGACGTTGGTGAGGCTAGGTTTGTATGTTGGGTTTATTGGAGTAATGTGGAGGGGTTGGTTGTGGTGGGTGTTGTTTTCAGCAGGAGGTGAGTGGTGGAGGGAGGTGGTGGTGGAGGTGTGGAGGAGGGGGCCGCTCGTGTGTGTGTGTCTGGGGTGACTCCGGTACAGCTAGGGGTGGAGGAGGATGTTCAGGGGCTGGAGTCCTTCCTGTGTGGACGTCTGTCGGTTGATTGGGTCTATCTGGATCTGTTCTCCTGGGACTGAGATCTTGTTCTCCTGGGGACTTGGATCTGTTCTGCCTGGGGACTTGGATCTGTGTTCTCATGCCTGGGGGACTTGGGTCTGTTCTCACCTGGGGACTGACAGTGGCTTGGACTTTGTCACCACCTGGTGAGGCGTGGTGAAATATGCCAATCACATCTCTGTTTGCTGGTCACAGTCATGTCTCTGTTGTTGGTCTCAATACATCTCTGTATTATGCTTGGTCATCAATCCATCTCTGTATTAGCTGGTCACCAATCACACTTCTGTTATTTATTGGTTTAGTCTTGTATCTCGATTCTGTGGTGAAGCTTGTCTAAATAGTCGTAGGGGCAGGAATGAGGGGCGGTGGTGGGTGTGATGGGCGGGTAATCACCTGTAGAGTTGTTGGTCTGAGTGGGGTCACTGTAGACTTCTAAGACGCTCTTCAGGGTCTTTCCTCTGGCAGGGATGACTGTCTGTAGATCTGGGTAAGACCCCCAGAATGCTAGGGTGGAGGATAGTGGGCAGAGAAGCTTGTCTTCCGACTGTTGAGATGGTGATGGTTGTTTGGTCAGGTGAGTGGGGCTGGTGGAGAGGTGGAGTGGGGCTGGTGGAGAGGTGAGTGGGGCTGATAGAGATGGGGTGGGGCTGGTTTGGCGGGGCCAGTGGCGTGTTTCTAGCTGGAGGTGTTGTTGGTCACTCTCATCGTGGGTGGCTGGTCCTCTTATCAGCAGGGGTCCCTCTTATCGGCAGGAGTCCTTCTCGTTGTGCTGGGAGTCTCTGTTATTATCCACCAGCAGAGGGAGGGAGGAGGGAGGAGCCCTTCTGGAGGAGGAGTACTGCCACAGGGAACACTGCCTGAAGATATTTCCGAGGGGAGAGGAGACTTCCTCTGACCTCTACAGGGATTAGGGCGGAGAGGACCGTGTTGAGGAGGAAAACAGAGGAATTAAGGCCTGGGAGGGCACTGGAGAGGGCACTGGAGGCACTACGTCTGAGGTACCTGGTGGGGAGGTGAGGTGTTTGACGAACAGAGAGGTAGGGAGGATATCTCGGGGGGCAGGAACAGGGAGGTGAGTTAAGGGGTGATCTGACGGGTGAGTCCCGCTGAGGACTGGTGGGTGAGGCACCTCATTGGGTGACCTGAGGGGTGATGTACTGCCTTCCATTCTCCTCTGGGGTGATGGCTGCTGGGGTGGGAGTAGCTGGGGTGAACTACTGCGGGGCTCTACGGGTTAGGGGAAAGAGTGGGGTGGTGCAGCTGCGGCGGGGGAGACTAGAGGAGGTGCCAGGACGCTAGTGGTGGGGAGGGAGACTGAGGAACGTCAGAAAGGACTTGAAGCCTGCTACAGTGTCTCCCGGAAGTTCCTCTGGAAGAGACCGACCCTGAAGGAGAGAGAGTGTGAGAGGGTGAGAGAGACAGAGAGAGACAGGGGGGGGTGTGTGAGAGAGAGTGAGAGAGAGAGAAGGGGGGAGAGAGAGTACCAGAACACAGAGATGACCAATGTTAGGATTTAGAGTACATTTTGGTTAGAGTTGGGTTTATGACCTTGTCATGTGATAAACATTTAACAGACAAAAACATCAGCATTTGTTAAAGCATTTAAGGAAGCAAATGAATAAACAAGCAATAAAATATAAACATTACAATAGCATCTGTATATAAACATCCAAACTAATCTAATTAACATTTAAGTTAACAAATGAATTAAACTAACTATAATAAAATAATTTAACATAATTTTAACATTTTAATATAAACTAAAACCTAGGTGGTGAGTGGTGGGAGATTAGTGGGGTAGGGTGGGGTGGGGGTGGTGAGTGGTGTGGTGGTGGTGGGTGGGTGGTGGTGGTGGTGGTGAGTGAGTGGTGGTGGGTGGGTGGTGGTGGGGGTGGGGTGGTGGTGTGAGGTGGTGGTGGTGGTGAGGTGGGGGATGGTGGTGGTGGTGGTGGTGGTGGTGGTGGTGGTGGTGTGGTGGGTGATTGGTGGTGGTGTGGGGGTGGTGGTGGTGGTGGTGGTGGTGGTGGTGGTGGTGGTGGTGTGGGGTGGTGGTGGAGTGGTGGTGGTGGTGGTGTGGTGGTGGTGGTGGTGGTGGTGGTGGTGGTGTGGTGGTGGTGGTGGGTGGTGGTGGGTGGTGGTGGTGGTGGTGGTGGTGGTGGTGGTGGTGGGGTGGGTGGGTGGTGGGCTGGTGGTGGTGTGGGGTGGGTGGTGGTGGGGAGTTGGTGGGTGGGGGGGGTGGTGGTGGTGGGTGGTGGTGGTGGGGTGGTGGTGGTGGGGAGATTGGTGGTGGGGGTGGTGGTGGGTGGGTGGTGGTGGTGGTTGGTGTGGTGGGGGGTCTGGTGGTGGTGGTGTGTGGTGGTGGTGGTGGTGGTGGTGGTTGGGTTGGTGGTTGGTGGTTGGTGGGGTGGTGTGGTGGTTGGGTGGGTTGGTTGGTTGGTGTTTGGTGGTGGTGGTGGTGGTTGGTGGTGGTGGTGGTGGTGGTTGGGTGGTTGGTGGTGGTTGTTGGTGGGGTTGTGAGTGGTGGTGGGGTGGTGGTGGTGTTGGTGTGGTGGTGGGTGGTGGATTGGTTGGGTTGGTGGTGGTGTTGGTGTTGGTGTTGGTGGTGGTGGGTGATGGTGGTGGTGGTGGTGGTGGTGGTGGTGGTGGTGGGTGGTGGTTGGTGGTTGGTGGTGGTGGTGGGGTGGTGGTGGTGGGGTGGGTGGTGGTGGTGGTGGTGGTGGTGGGGTTGGGGTTGGGGGTGGGGGTGGTGGTGGTGGTGGTGGTGGTGGTGGTGTGGTTGGTGGTGGTGGGTTGGGGTTGGTGGTTGGTTGGTTGGTTGGTTGGTGTGGTTGGTTGGTTGGTTGGTTGGTTGGTTGGGGTTGGGGTTGGTGGGGTTGGGGTTGGTTGGTTGGTTGGTTGGTGGGTTGGTGGGTTGGTGGGTGGGTTGGGGTGTGGTGGTGGTTGGGTTGGTTTGGTTGTGGTGGTGGTTCATGGTGGTGGTGGTGGTTCGTGGTGGTGGTGGTTGGGGTGGTGGTGGGGGTGGTGGGGTGGTGGTGAGAGTTGGTGGTGCAACTAGGCACTAATATGGTGATAATGGTGACAGTGATGAGTTAAAGCCTTATATTGCTCTGTGGTGACAGTGCTGGGTCAAGAAGCACTATAACACCTCTGTGGTGATAATGGTAGGGTATGGTGGGTGAAGCACTATAACTCTATGAGTGACAGTGTTGGTGTTAGAGCCTGTACCTATCTATGGTGATAATGTGGTGACAGTGTTGGTGTGGGAAGCACTGTAACACTATGGTGACAGTGTTGGTGTTAAAGCACTATAGCCTCCTATGGTGATAATGGTGGCCAGTGTTGGTGTTAAACACTATAACACTCTGTGGTGACATTTGGTGGTAGAGCACTATAACCTCACTATGGTGATGTGGTGACAGTGCCGGTGTTACAGGGCTTTTCCTCTTGCCTCCTATGTGGTGATATGGTGTGGTGCTGGTGTTAAGGCACTGCACTCTATGGTGACAGTGTTGGTGTTAAAATATAACACCCTCTATGGTGATAATGGTGACAGTGCTTGGTGTTGAAGCACTATAACTCTATGGTGACAGTGTTGGTGGTAGAAGCACTATAACACCCTCCTGGTGATAGTAGTCGACCCAGTGCAGTGTTGAAGCACTATAACCTGTGTTGAGCATTGCAGTGTTAAAACTTTTCTCTTGCCCTCCTGTGGTGATAATGGTGACAGTGCCGGTGTTAGAAGCACTATATTGCTCTGTGTAGTGACAGTGTTGAGTGTTGAAACACTATAACACCCTCTATGGTGATAATGGTGACAGTGCCAGTGTTAAAACACTATAACACTATGGTGACAGTGATGGTGTTAAGAGCACTATAACACCCTCTATGGTGATAATGGTGACAGTGTTGGTGTTAGAAGCACTGTAACACTGTGGTGACAGTGTTGGTGTTAGGCACAACACCCTCCTATGGTGATAATGTGGTGGCAGTGCCAGTGTTAGAGACACTACCAACACTCTATGGTGTGCAGTGCAAGTGGCACCAACACTCTGTGGTGACAGTGTGTTGGTGATAAGCACTATAACACCCTCCTATGAGTGATAATGGTGACAGTCAGTGGTAAAACACTAACACTCTATGGTGACAGTGTTGGTGTTAGGCACTATACCCTCCTATGAGCGATAATAGGTGACT